GGCTGCTGCATCCTACCTGAAGAAAGGTTCATCTATCATCTTTATTTCTTCTATTGCTGGATACAATCCAGGGCAAGGGCTGGCTATGTATGGGGTCACTAAAACAGCTCTTTTTGGGTTGACAAAGGTTGTTTGTTGCACTTTGTGTGGTTATTTTTCTATTTCAAGGATGCAAACTACTTATAATTATTTGTTCATAATGTGTCTTTAAGCATCTATTATTATCCACTTCTTGTATTGATGATACTAGTTTCTATGTGGAATGATTAGATTTTGAAAGGAAATTCAAAATTTAATATATTTACTTTTTCAACCCTCTAAAAACCTTGCTCCAGATTTATGATGCATTTTGTCTAGCTTCAGTTTAAATAAAATTTACTTTGAATGGTTATCATCTTATCATTATCTTTGCAGAGACACAACTAGATACCTAGCCAGGGAAGGGTACAATGAAAAGAAAGTCCTAGAAAGCTTCTGCATTTTAAATTGATAGTATTTTTCTTCAAAGTTTTATTGAGTATGGTGCAATTATCTGTACAATTTTAATTAGCGTATTGGATTATATATTAGTGGATTATCTTTGGGCTATTCTATGATTGTCAAGCGTCATCATAAGTCATCCTAATTCCTTTTTTTAAATAGAAATGATAGAAGCCAGGTCAAGATGTTCTATCTATGTCAGAAAAGATTTTAGCTGTCATGAATTTGTATTTAAGAAAATATATTCAATTAATATGTAAGGGGAATTATTTATCCTTAAGGGATAGTTTGGTGTGTTGACAAATGAATGCAAAGTAAACAAAATGCAGTTTAAAAGGAATGTAGAGTATTTGAAACGTTTGAGCTTATTTGGATGAGTGTAAAAAGAATGCAATAGATTATTTTCTTTATTAGCTTGAAGTAAATTGAATACATGTAAAGTAAAAAAATTTAGTGGCCGTTGACATGTGTTGGTGGTGGTGGTGGATGACAAGCCGACGATTGTTGGCAATGGCCGAGGGTCAACAGGTGTCAGTGGCGGCTGCTTGTGGGTGTCGATAGTTGGCGAGCAATTGGCCAACAGTGGGAGGCGGTGGTGGGCGGCGACAATGCAGTTGTCTGTTGGTAAAAAAAATTAGATAAAATTGTGCTAGTTTACTATACATAAAAAATGAACTAAGAAGTAAAAAAGGAATTTAATTAAATTTTACATTACATTTCATTTTCATCCAACCAAACACCTAAATTCTATTTTATATTGCATTATTTTTACTCTGCATTCCTTTTTTAGCAAAGCAAAGTGCCCCTAAATCAACCTTAATGTGTAAAATCAATAAGAAATCTACATCCACAAAATCAAACATGACAAATGAAAACAAGAAAAAATAGAAATGATATTTTGATGAGTAAGAATAATGATATACCCTTTAATCAGGAAATGAAGTAAATTAAAAAGAAAAAAACTTTAGACATATCTTTTGCAGAATGCAATTATTTCAAGTTTTTAAAGTGCCCTCTTATCATGAATAAAGTTGATTAAAAAATTGTCTGCATTGAAACCTATGGTTCTTACACAACAAATTACAGTGCCACAAGTTTGAAAATTATAAATGGTTTAGCTTCAAAGCTATGCTGCACCGATACGGATACAACGACAAGGATACAACACGATACAGATATGGGACACGTTAATTCTTAAAAATACATGATACGGGTACGACACGGATAAGACATTATAATATATAAATCATACATAAAAATTAAGAAAGAAGTCAAAGCGTAATATTTGAAATGACAAAAAAAAAAATAAAAATGAAAGCAACATCATTTGTAACATTGTATCTTATAATATCAAAATAAAAGTAAGTATTAAATATTTAAATGTCTAGTACAACAACAAAAACAAAAACATAAATTATCTAACACATGAAGTTTCAACTATTCAATAGAATGAATGATATGATTAGCTTCTTTAGTGGTTTGTCATTGAACTTCTATATCATCTTCAATAAATATCATAGCTTCCAATTCAGGCTAATCAAATGAAAGATTAACAATTTCTAATATTCCCATATCCTCAAGAGATTAAATCCATCTTCAGCAACATCCCACATCATGTTGTCTCCTTCCATATAAGTTGGAGTTTTCCTTGAGAGAAGCCGAAGGTTTATATACACATAAACTAGATCTTTAGCCCATTGTAGAGTAATTTTTGTACCGAGCCTACAATGAAGATAGATTTAAATAATGCTTTAATTGGACACGACAAAGTCGTATCCGACATGTATCCGTGCCATATCTGATGCGTATCTGTATCTGACGCGTGTCCGATATAGCATGCCTCTTGAATAGAAGTATCGGTGCTACATAGCTTCAAAGTCAAATATCCCAAATAATGCTTCCTTTACTAGCGTGCGTGATAAGGAATACTTAACTACAAGTGGTTGGATGATAGATTTTTTTTTACATCCTCTGTTTTAATCATTCAGTTTCAGTTCAATAAATCCTTCATCATTTTTCACCATTTTTATAGCCACATTTGATTTGACTTCCTCTCTTCTATGATCAATTTCATGGTTCATTATTGTCATAATTATCAGCAGTCATACCCCATCTATTTGTGGTTTGCATTATGAATCCTTACTTCCATTTATGCAATTGATTTCTCATGAGATATTATTATTGTTTGCAAAAATATTTTTGGCCATTTTCGTTTGTATGCTTATTTGAATATTAGAAAAAAAGCATAATTCAGTTTTGTTGTAGAAAAAATAGAATTATTTCATCTCCTCATGTAGGCAATAAAAAATCTGAACTAGCATGCTGTTTCATATTTCATGTTTTTGGCAGGGTAGTTATGCTCTTTGTTGATTTTCTTTCTGCACATGTTGAAATTAAAATATTCACGATTTGAAATTTAGTAGAATCTCTCATTTTTCTTGGGGACTTGGACTTTGCTAAAACTTACATTGATTTATAAGTTGTGAACATTATCGCCAACTCTAATCAAACTTATATGAAATAATTCTATTGGAACATGCAAGATAATTTGGGGATCACATGATTTTCTAAGAGGATGCAAAGTAAGAATGACTGAGATGGCTACCAAGAGGTGCCGAATGGAATTAGAGTCTGAGAGGAATAAATATTATCTAGACAACTCTTTTGCTAAGAGACAAAGTCTTCTTGTCGAGTTGTTTATTATTAGGCATATCAAGTTGCAACCTGGCTCTAAGTGTTTAAGTTGGCGCCGTCTTTCCTGTAACTAAGTTTGGAACATTCATAATCAAATCCTTGACTTTTTATAGCAACCTTCATGCCTTTGGTAACCAATAGTCTGGTCATTTTAGAAAAAGGGGCATTGTATGGTAGTAATGTTGAATGGTCTTTATCTAGTTGGTCTTTGATCTTCTTGAAGGTAGAGATAGATTAGAGAGCGAGAGTTCTAGGAAGAGAGATATTCTTCTTGCTTTTTTGTATTTGCCATAGGTTTTGGATCTCACTTTTTTTTCGAAAGCTTCATTTGAAATCTTTATGGAGAAGTTCAAGAAAGATGCCAATGGAAAGAAAACATGTACTGCGACCGAATTGGAACAATCATTGTAGTTGGTGAATCAACTAGCTTCTAGCGTTTTCTTGATGGCAATGCTAAATATGTTAGAATTGAGTTCGACATGAGACCTTTTTGTGTCTAAGAACACTTCACCTTTCTTATCCAAGTCACGCAACAAGCAGTCAACAACATGTTCAATTTGGTTAGCAAGAAGAAACTAATCTCGAAGAGCCTAATTAAGCAGTTGGGATTTTAAAATTTTAGATGACTCCTTATCCACAACGTTATACTCAAATAAATTCAGAAGGACTAGATGATGTGAAACAATTTTCAGTGATGTATTCACTTTAGCATTACTCTAGAATAGGGGTGTCAATATTTGACACGACCCGAAAACCCGACTCGAATCCGACCCGAAAATTTCGGGTAGGGTCAACCCGAACCCGAAATGGGTCGGGTTTGGGTTCATCATTTCGACCCGTTTCGAAAATCGGGTCGGGTTCGGGTTAACCCTTTGACCCGAAATTGACCCGAAAACCCGATTTTGACCCGACAACCCGAGATTGATCTGATTTTGACCCGTTTTTTTACCCGAAAAGAGGATATTGACCCGTTTTGACCCGAAAATTAGCTATTTTTTGTTGGAAACGGGTCATTCGGGTCGTGTCGGGTTGACCCGGACCCGAAGCGGGTCTGGTTCGGGTCCGGAAAACCGACCCGTTTTTAAAAACAGGTCGGGTTCGGGCTGACCCGAATAGTGCCGGGTCAGTTTCGGGTTCGACCCGAACCCGACCCGTGACCCGAAATTGACACCCTTACTCTAGAATGCTTCAACAAGGTGATGCATAAATTGATCTCTTGACATTTTTTGAATTATGTTTAGTAGGCCATAGTTATGAGACTAAAAGAATATCTTCTTCATTCAATAATATCTCCTCTATAAAGTTCATATCAACTATGCTATTAATAAGAGCAAGCGATGCCATCCTCGTTATGTTAGCAGTTGCACAAGTGAAAAGAATCATAAAAGCATGCCCATGCTAAATTTTGTTGTTCATCTAATAGGAAAAGCCTGATTGCAATTCAAGTAGTATGGTCCGAGAATAATTTAAGATGGTCAAAGTGGAACAGAAAGGAAAAGCATCATCTCTGGCTCTTGGGGAGTGAGACTACAAAAATTGGTCGAATATTACCAAGAGGTTTTCCTCGAACTGAGATAGATGCCTCCTCATTGAGCTGTGAGCATGAAATTCAAATTCTCTCAATTTCCTCTCTTCCTAACTTTATGATGCACCACAAGCTGAATGTTGGAGGGGATCATAAAGCAAATCGCTTAAGTTGTTAGATTACGGTGCCTTCAAGCTGTGCAACTCATCATAGCAATCTCCATTTATAATGGTGTCGTGCCATAGAAGTATGATAGTTGGCTGATGTACATAGACTATTGAGCAACAAATCAATTCAATATAAAGAAGGGATACTTCCTTGAGTTGATAACTTTTTGCACTTTCTAGTGGATGCAACCATCTTCTTTAAGTTAGATTTAAATCCGGGTCTATTTGGAATAACTACAACATTTTTTAAAGGTGGTTATA